TGTATCCAGATATTTAAGGGAGAGCGGTTTTGTGGAATTTGATTTTAACGTGATTATTCTTTTTTAACTGATGGTATGTATTTCCCTATAGCAGCAGAGTGTTAGGTGTGTTAGGGCTGGAGCTGCTCAGAGCAGGATATGTTAAGCCTCATTTTTTCCACTTTGTGGTCAGCTGGCCACCCAGGATCCCTGGGCCAGAGCTCAGGTTACTATGGCCTTGATACATTTCAGATATGAGAGGGTGCCCTGGCTGTTGCTGAGAGCTGGCCAACTTGAAGAAAGGGCTGCACTTTTAAGTGCCATGTGGTCTGGTTTGAAACTTCAAGGCTTGTTCTTATTTGTGCATTAGATGTTCTGTTATGATGACTGAAATGATAATTAGCAAGCCAGAAGTTCATTTGAAATGTCTTTTAACAGTTTTGTTTTGAAACTTCAAATCTGAAAGGCTAGGAATAGCCTCTGTCAAAAATGTAATGGAATGGAAGGAAGTGTAATTGTTTTTCTGTTGGTGTTTTAAAAATATGTGGATAACATTGCTAATAAGGGAAAAAAAAATATTTCATGAGAGAGTAAACTGTGGCTGTATCTCAATTTTAACTTAAATATGTGAAAACAAGGATTTACTGGCGCTTCTGTTTCACTGCTAATTTCTTCTGACGGCTGCTTTATCCTTCAGATTTCAGTGCTTTTCTAAGTATGTTACCCATCACACTGTAGCAGTAAGTGACCTCAGCCCCCCTCATTTTTCATTACTTTGCTTTACAGTAGTGTGGGAAAGTCCTTGTTTACAGATGGAAGTGTCAGTGTCTTTATGGGCCTCCTGGCAAGCAAATCTGGGATTCTTTTTCTTCAGTGCTTCCTGGCCTGGGGGCAGACAGTGTGAAGTGAAAATCTCGGCCGGGGGAGCTCTTCATGATTGCTATTGTTGTCAGATTTGGACTGAATCTAAACCTGTTTTGGCTTTTGTGACCCGACAAGTTTATCATTTGCAAGCCTTTTTATAGTCTCTTGGCTGCAGAGCAACACAGAAGTTATATATGCGAAGGTCCACTTGAAGGGATTATGGCATTTCCTTATTACCTCACAATTAAATTATTTCCATTTGTTACAAGCTTAGGTACAATACCATGTATGAAATGTAAAAAAAAAATGCTCTTAAATGTTCAAGCTGTTTTTCTTTTTGTAGAGATGCAAAAAAAGTGATTTTCTTCAGTGTAGGTTTGTTTTTGTGGTGATGTGCACGACAGTCTTTGTGTCAAAAGATACTTTGTAAAGAGTCGGTAGACAAAAGCCTGA